GTAGCAGATTACATCATCATTTACAATTAACACCCACCTCCCGCCAGCCGATCATCACCCTGCAAGAAAAATTATTATCAATGCGATTTTCCTACACAAGTAGATTTCTTTCTCTTTTGGGGTTTGATCATATGAAAAGCTTTGGTTAATGGGATTTGAGTGGACATGGCATGACACATTGAAGAAACAGTTTTAAGAGGCGTCATATATTTCCCACAGATCTCTGGCTCTTCCCATCTGCTATGAGAATTGTCAAGTTACACATAGGGACTGCTTCTTCAGCCTGAACCTAGAATAAGAAGACCAATGGAGCCGCCCCATAACATGTAATCCAAGCAAGAAGCAATACTTTGTCGCCAGAAACCATTGAGAATTTGGAGTTGCTTGCTTTTACAGCAAAACTAATACATTTTTTGTGGTCTAATTTCTCTTTTCTTTTGGCTCTTTAGGAGCTAAAACTCATGAACTATTCCAAGCCAAATCATCTGATTTATGAAACTACTGTCACTGCCATGAGTTCCAGATGTTTATTAAACCTCTGAGAATTTCCTTTTCTTTCTCCCTGAGGCAGGGAAGGACATGCCCAAGCTGGGGGGACTATAAGACAAGAGGTAAAGGACATGGACAGGTTATGTGTGTGCAGAGCCATAGGGTGGGGTACCTCAGTGAATATTTCAGATTTTTATCCTGACATACAAAATGGCATAAAACAATGAAACATAAAATTTGAAAACTCCAACACATATATTCTTCTTATAGTCAAGGAGTTCATAGAGCAACTGAGTTATCATTTAGAAGGATAGGTAGGATTTGACGATGCAGGGGTGGGGGGAAAAGCCTTTTGTACTTAAGCTGCACATCAATCTAAGTCACAAAGGCAGATGAGTGAGTGGCATGGATGGGACCTAGTAAGTAAATGTGATTGATTCTCTTTTGTTCAATGTTTAAGAGACTGATGGGAGGCCAGCTTAGAAAGGTAAGCCAGGGCCCAGCTGTGCTCCAAGCTAAGCAGCGAGGACAGTGATGTGGCTAAAGACCATGCAGAAAAAGGGCAAGAGAGTGGACTTCAGCAGCATTTATTATTTTAAAAACAATGTGGCCATTTATAATTTTTATAATTTTTAAATTAATTTTTTATTGTTGTTCAATTACAGTTGTCCCCATTTTTCCCCTTTTACTCTCCTGTGCCCTATGCACCCTCATCTCCCACATTCAATCCTCCTCCCTCCCCTGTTGTCTTTGTCCTGTGACCTTTATACATGTTCCTTGACAACCTTTCCCCTTTTCTCCCGTGTTATCATTCTTGCCCCTCCCTTCTGGTCACTGTCAGTTTGTTCTTTATTTCTGTGTCTCTGGTTCTATTTTGCTTGCTTATTTGTATTGTTGATTAGGTTCCACTTATAGGTGAGATCATGTGGTATTTGTCTTTCAAAATACCTGGCTTATTTCACTTAGTATAATACTCTTCAGTTCCTTCCATGCTGTCATGAAGGGTAGGAGCTCATTCTTTCTTTCTGCTGTATAGTATTCCATTGTGTAAATGTACCACAATTTTTTTGATTCCCTTATTTACTGATGGGCACTTAGGCTGTTTTCAGCACTTGGCTATTGTAAACAATGCTGCTATGAACATTGGGGTGCATAGGTTCTTTTGATTTGGTGTTTCAGGATTCTTACGGTATAATCCCAACATTGGAACTGCCAGGTTGAAAGGCAGATCCATTATTAGTTTTTTGAGGAAATTCCATACTGTTTTCCACAATGGCTACACCAGTCTGTTGGTGGGAATGCAGACTGGTGCAGCCACTGTGGAAAGCAGTATGGAATTTTCTCAAAAAAAGAAAACAAACAAAAATGGGACTGCCATTTACAATTTTGACACATAAAGTAACCATGTGAAAATTTATAATTTTTTAACATATATTTTATTGATTATGCTCTTACGCTAGTCCCATTTTTTTCTTCCCTTTATTCCCCTGCACCCCGCACCTCCCCCACCAGCACAACACCCCCTCGCTCCCCACCCCAGTTCATGTCCATGGGTCATTCATGTAAGTTCTTTGGCTTCACCATTTCCTATACTATTCCTAACACCCCCTGTCTATTTTGTACCGACTATTTATGCCTCTTATTTCCTGTACCTTTTCCTCCATTCACCTCTTCCTCCTCCCCTCTGGTCTCCATTTCTGTGGTTCTGTTCCTGTTCTAGTTCTTTGCTTAGTTTATGTTTTTGTTTTTTTTTAGATTCAGTTGTTGATAGTTGTGGGTTTGTTGTCATTTTACTGTTCATAGTTTTGATCTTCTTTTTCTTAGAAAAGTCCATTTAATATTTCATATAATAAGGGCTTGGTGATGATGAACTCCTTTAACTTGACCTTATCTGGGAGGCACTTTATCTGCCCTTCCAGTCTAAATGATAGCTTTGCTGGATAGAGTAATCTTGGATGTAGGCTCTTGTCTTTCATGACTTTGAATACTTCTTGCCAGCCCCTTCTTGCCTGCAAGGTTTCTTTTGAGAAACCAGCAGATAGTCTTATGGAAACTCCTTTGTAGGTAACTGTCTCCTTTTCTTTTGCTGCTTTTAAGATTTTTCTCCTTATTTTTAATCTTGGGTAACTTAATTATGATGTGTCTTGGTGTGTGCTTCCTTGGGTCCAGCTTCTTTGGGACTCTGAGCTTCCTGGATCTCCTGGAAGTCTGTTTCCTCGGCCAGATTGGGGAAGTTCTTCATTATTTTTTTCAAATAAGTTTTCAATTTCTTGCTCTTCGTCTTCTCCTTCTAGCACCCCTATGATTTGGATGTTGGAACGTTTAAAGTTGTCCCAGAGGTTCCTAAGACTCTCCTTATTTTTTAAAATTCTTGTTTCTTCATTCTGTTCTGGTTAAATGTTTATTTCTTCCTTCTGCTCCAAATCATTGATTTGAGTCTAGTTTCCTTCCCTTTACTGCTGGTTCCCCTTATATTTTTCTTTATTTCACTTTGCATAACCTTCATTTTTTCTTCCATTTTGTGACCACAGTCGATCCTTTCTGTGAGCATGCTGATTACCAGTGTTTTGAACTCTGCATCTGTTAGGTTGGCTATCTGTTCATTGCTTAGTTCTGTTTTTGGAGCTTTGATATGCTCTTTCATTTGGACAGTATTTCTTTGTCTTGGGACATCTGTTATGTTGGAAGGGGAGGAGCCTTAAGTATTCACCAGGGTGGGGTAACCCAGGTCGCTGCGTTGTGGTGCTGTATGTGGGGGAGGGATCAGAGAGGGAACTATGCTGCTTGCTCAGCTCTCAGCAGCCTTTTAGTCACTTCCCCTGCTAGCCACAAGCAAATTGGGCCTTCTGGTGCTCATTCCCAGGTGGGTGGGTTTGTGTACCCTATGGGTCTCTCCAACACATTCTCCTGTGAGGCTGGGATTTTCTCCCACCACCATATCCCCCACAGGTTTTTGTAGCCAGAGGTTTTGAGGCTTTCTTTTCCTGAACTGGAACCCTAGATTGCTTGCTCTCTCTCACTCCTCAGATGTTCCTCCCGGTTTATCTGGATGCCAGTGTGAGAGCACCCAGACCGCCACCTGCCATCTTGCCCACCCTGTCCTCCAGCTGCCATCTTGCTGAGTGTCCTCTCTTCCCCAGCTGCCTGTATCCACCCGCCCTACCAGTCTGGATGAATGTTTCGTCTTTAACTTCTTGGTTGTCGGATTTCCATATACTTTGATTTTCTGGCAGTGCTGGTAATTTAAAAAGAAAAATTTGTTGTTGTCTTTCTTTTGGTTGTGTGAGGAGGAGAAGTGTATTTACGTACACCTCCATCTTAGCTGGAAGTCAAAGTTTACAATTTTGATACATAAATGGTTGGAGGAGCTACTCAGGAAAATTTTGTTTTCTATCTAGGTATGATGGATTACTCTCCCCAAATGGTCTGTGTACACTAGCTCTGTGTGTATGGTTGCTAAACAATCTCTGTATAAAGTCATTTCTGGAAAAATCAGCCTGGTTTGTTGGTGATGGTTCTGGATGGTGTGTTTCAGTCAAAGAAAGAGCATTAATTTCCTGCAGTAGTTTGCCTACTACTAGGGCACATCTTACTATACTTAGGTCTCCTTGACATTTTAATTAATGATTAAAAAATAAGCACACAGCAATGTAAATATACTTAATGACACTGAACTATACACTTAAAATGATGAAAACGGTCAACTGGTATGTATTTTACCATAATAACCGCCCCCCTCCAGCACATTTCCCTATGGGAGAATTCAGAAATTAAAAGAATTTTAGAGCTGGAATGTCCTCAGCCAATCTCGCAGTATCAACCCTAAAAGTGTCAAAGTTGACAATGAGAGGATGTGACACTCTAGCCATTGGCCAATCTCTTCCTGGTCTTTCCTGTCTTGCAGACGAGGCCCTAAGATTCAGGAGACAGTCTTCCTTTCTCTTGCCCATTTTAGTGTAGCGGGATAAGGCAAGCGTGTGTGTGTGTGTGTGTGTGTGTGTGTGTGTGTGTGTGTTGCGCTCTTGTGTGATTGGAGACCACTGAGTAGGCAGTCAAACTCTTCTTCCTCCATCCTGGGGAGATGTGCTGTTTAAAGGTTCTGTTGCTGCAGTTTGAAGGGTCCTGGATTTTTGGCAGCTCTACTCAGCCTCCTTAGCCGGCAGCCAAAAGACTAAGGGCGCAGCTGGAACGGAACAATGACAGAAGATGAAAGTTGCAAAAGCTCTGTCCAGGCTTCTTCTCTGAATCAATTTTCCAGGGTACAAGAGGAACAAGATGCGCTGGGATGGAAGGTAGTGCATCTTTCCTCTGACACCTGCCTTTGTTGCCATTATGGCCGAGCGCCCCTGAGCTCGCAGAGTGCGCACCTGTGCAGAGAACCCTGCGCGCCCGGGTTGCTGGAGACGCCGACGCGCCGCGGAGCCCGTTCCGCCAGGCACATGCGCACTGGCGACGCCCGGCCGGCGCCCTCAGTCTCCTCCTCCGCCGCCTCCCGGTTCCGCAGTCACTTCCTGCAGCTGTTTCCCTGTGGGTCCGGGTGCACTGACTTTGGAGTCAGCCTTCAGCTGTGGAGAGGGCTCGGCGGGGACCAGCTGAGAAAGTTGCGCTGAGGGAGGCGGGGTTGAACCGGGCTGAGCCAGGCGCCCTGGGAAGAAGCAGGCGGGCATTCCCGGGCGAACGCGTCGGTCACACACCCGGCGCGTCCCGGCGGTTCCGGTAAGTGCAGGCGACCGGGAGCCTCGGGGCGTTGAGGACGAGCCCAGGAGCCGCGGGGACTAGCGGTCCTTTTGGCTGCGGTCTTTCCACCTGTGCTGCACGTGACAGGCTTGTGCTGCTTTTATTTGTTTGTTTTTAAGCATTTCACGTGTTCTCTTTGGATATCTGGGCGTGCAGCTGCCTTGGCTTTGGCGCTGGCCCCCCGCCTCCTGGGAGACCGGGGATTCCATTTTTCGTGATGGCATCCTTAAGGGTTTGAGGTGCGTGTGTGCGTGCTCGCTTGTATGCATGCACATTTTAGGAATGTAAGGTAATTATACGTGGGCGATGCTGAAATATATGTAGCTTTGATTCAGATATGTAAATGGTGCCCTATGATTAGGCGCCGTCATAGCTGAGACTGGAAAACATTCGCCAAATCACCAAGGCCTCTTCTCCCCCCAGATTCCTGCGTTCTTTTGAGTCTTCCTTATATGATATATCTTGCCTCAGCTGATTATTTTTCTATTTTTCTCTCAGTCCTTCTGGCGTTATTCGTGATGACCTCTGAATAACGCTCACTGTCTTTCATTTCTAGAATTCCCAATTACAGACTTTGCTACTCTGCTGAGATGCCAGTAACCTGTCCCTTTATACTGTTCTCTTTCTTCTGTAGCTTTCTCCAAATGAGAAAGTGATTAGCTTTAAAACAGCATCTGAAAAGTAGGCCCCAGTCCAATCATGAAAACTGTGTTATGATCATTCCCTTTCTTTAAACAGGGTACACCGTGAAGCTTTGATTTTCTTTATTGTCCCCTCAGCCCCTTCCAAACTGGGACATTAACCACCATAAATCTTTAATTTATGCCACTTCAAGCGAATGGCTTTTATGATCTGAGGAATATTTATTTACATCAGCCCTTAAGTTAGTTTCTTTTAATCTAATGGCAGTAGTTGAATAGATGTGAGTCACATATGCTTTGGCCTTTATACCATCATTCATGCTCTCAGTTAGGGCTTGGATTTATTTCTTTAGATTTATATTTTATGCTAATTTTTATTTGCAAATGTAAGTAATACTTGATGTAATCATACATTGTTTTTGGAAGTTCACATTATTTTGATTGTTGAATATTACAAAAATAATATTGGATTATTGAGCTAGTCTTTAAAAATTGTAAAGATAAAATGCAATAATAGGTAAGTCTGTACTTGGTGAGCATACTTTCTTTTAATTCAGTAGATTTTATCACCTTTGGGCCTCCTGTACCTCTGTGCTTTGAGAAGGGCCTCTGATGGAAGTCTGTAGGCAACACTATGGGTGACACATGCTGCAATTTCCTCGAGTGAGAGTGAGCATTCATAAAGCAAGTCCAGACATGTCTAAACAATTGGTAGCATTTGATTTTCTGTTTATAGTGAATTTTTTTTTTTTAATCCAGGTGTTTTGACACCCTCCTCCACCATTTCTCTTCTGAACTGGTAGCTTGTTTATGACAATTTGGTATTAATATGTCTCTGTATAGGTAGTATGTGTAGTCTTTTAATATTATGTATTATAATCAGGTAAACGTTTTCGAAAAAGAGGTCTTTTGTCTTTTTGGTTTTTCTTTTAAAAATGCCCATGTATCTGTCTCTGCTTTCTGAATGTCTTTGCTTGATTAAATTGAGAGGAATAATGTGATTATAGAGAGCCTGACTTTTTAAGTGTTCTAAACCTGTATTGCTTTTCTTTATGTTCTCAGAGATGTGGACATCATATTTCTGCCTAAGAATAAAATAATATTGTTGTTTTTATAGATATTATGGTTAATGAGAAAGAAGTGTTGTTAAATACTGTGACTAATAATTTATGTACTTTTTAGCACATTATTTCTCCATTGCACTGATATTCTCTGCTGCCCCAAGACACTGAATTTAGTACAAAGGTTGTTACTTGATTGTGATTTCTATATGTTTGTACTTATTAAATTGGTAAAAGAGACTTTTAACTTATCAAAATTGACTTGCTTGATTTTATTAAATCTCTTGTTGTCATAAAATGTGCACATTTCTATTGTAGATGGCAAACTTCAGCGACTTAAAATAGCCATATTTTATTGACCAAGAAAAGAGGTTTTAATAATATTGAGAGAGTGGAAGGAATAGTGAATTTTGAAGTAAAGGTTTTAATTTGGGTTAATTAGAATCATGGGAACTGAAAGTGTGCACTGTGATTTATTTTGAGATACTCAGGGTTAGAAGATGCCATCTGGGTGGGAGGCAAGAGGAATCATGGATAAATTGAAGAGGGATTGGAACATATTGCACCTTTTCTGAGGGGAACAGAATAAAGACTATCGGTTATTTAATATGGGGAAAAAATAGCTGAAAGACTGAGGGAGTGGATTTATATTGTGGCTTGTTGTAGTGTGATCCATTACCTCATTGCACATTGACTTGATACATTGTTTTATTCAGGTAATTTACCTATAGAGGGAGAGAAAATATTCTCATTTTATAGGGGACTTGTGAATGTAGCCTAGGGCTGTATGAAGTGACGTCCTAAACTCAGGGGCCTACAGGGAGTGGGCAAGAAACATGAACACAGGTAGCAGGCTGAGTGGGGACTGAGGTGGCCTGCAGAAGGCAGGCTTCACTGCTGGGGAGAGTGCCTTTTAGCACTAATTAGCTCTTGTTGCCCATGTAGGGCTGGGTACCAAATGTTATCAAATTGTCTTTTTTATCAAGAAAAGCCACGAGTCTCTTGATTTTTAAATGCAAAACGAAACACTATATTGCAAACAGAACATGTCAATGGCTGCGTGACCCATGGACAATCTGCAACCTCTGCTGGGAGGAATCATTGGCTCAGCTCCTTAAGTATTAGTAGTTGATCAGAATGTATACTTTTTTTCCCCCCTAGAAGGTACACATTTATTTATTTTTGTCAAAAGGTAACTCTGAGTTATTAGACTTCCTTGATATTTTAGCTAGTTCTGGAAGTGCCTTAAGGATTATGAGAAGTAACACTCTTTTATTTCATTCTTTTTTTTTTTTCTTTCATATAATTTGGATGAAAGACTGGTTTGGATGGAAAGTAGACATTTGCTAAGGTTCTTAGCTGGTGGAATATTGTGTACGCATCATTATCAAGAGTGTTTAAGTGTAAGTGTACTTGATGGAAGGGGTCTGGACTAGGTGACCTCTGATGTCCATTTCAGCCATGTGATTTTTAGATTTAATTAGTCATGGATGCAATGCTATTAATGTTCATGGGCCAGAGAGACCACAGCTGGAGCTGTGCCAACCAAAACAAAGCCGAATCTATAAACCCCTTTTCAGTGGAGGAGCATCATGTCAATGTGTATTAACAGATGGGAAGTCTGCGAGGTGAGGCAGAAGTCCCAAAAATGGGTTGAAGAAGTGGGAAAATGGGTGAGGTGGTGTGGTCATTTACATTTCATATCGCTCAGGTCACATTTTTAACTGTGTTTCTGCTTTTGATTCAGATTTGAAGACCCGACTTCTCATACATTGGATTATGCCCAAGGCTTTTCTACCCAATGATCCTCTTGCAACACGCCGGGTTACCTCTGCCTAAGCGGCCCTCATCCTCTCCTCCTATGTCAGTGGCCGCCAGGTCTACAGGAACCTTGCAGCATTCGCCGCAGAAGCCTTTTGGGCAGGAGGCTTCCTTACCTCTGGCAGGGGAAGAAGAGTTACCTAAGGGAGGGGAGCAAGACTCTGCCCTGGAGGAGCTCTGTAAGCCCCTATACTGCAAACTCTGCAATGTCACCTTGAACTCAGCGCAGCAAGCCCAGGCTCATTATCAGGTAAGGGGAAAAAGGAAAATCAGGCATTTAGTGGGAGAACATTTTAAGGCTTTACACATTTCAGAATAGTCTCTCCTGATGTGCCTGGAGTAATCAAGGTAGCTTAGTGAACAACTCAGTATTAGTTTGTTTGACTAAAAGCATAATGTTTTCTACATTGAAAGAAAACATCATTTATTACAAAATGGGGTCTTAACCTCCTATACTTGGCTGTATGATGTTTGATAGCTTGTCTGTCGTTGTAAGCAAATGTATGCCATCTGTGTTGGTGAACAAACCTGACAGACCTTTGGTCCCCAGAAGAACAGGTATTTGACACATAATGTACAAACTCAATTCAGTGTCAAAATTGCTTGGAAGAATTAGTCTTATAAATAGTCTTCCCTCTAATACAGTTTGCATTGGTTCAAGGTAATGTCTGTCTATGAATCTTTGCTTTTAATTTCTGACTCTTCTTTTATGTCCTATCATGGCTAAGGACAACACAGGTATCTTCTGTAGTGAGAATAAAACGACATTTGAGTATTGAGCCTTACCCTTCATTTATAAGCAGCACACTCTGATTTCTTTTAGTCTGTCTTTGTGAACTGGTAATTGTTTTTTAAGGTTTAAAGCTTTCTCTTCCATGTAGAATAGCTAGTGGAAAAGACAGTTTTAAAGGACAAATACAAAATTAAATTTTGGCTAGAAAGGTACAGTATTTCTTTTTATTCTAGATTGTTGTCTGTTTAAAATCACATCATCTCCTTTTTTTTTTTTTTTTTTTTTTTTTTTTTTGGAGAAAAGAGACCTGAGAAGCAAGTGAGGCCAAATGCCATTGAGTGAAAGTGTGTCTTCTGGGTCATCATTGATTTGATTATTTATCCTCTCCATGAATATCTGCACTAATAAGTCAGTATGGTAGAAAGATGACTTACACAGGTAGTGCTTTTTATTATGCCACTGTAACTTCTACTGACTTCAGGTTTTTATTTACTCTATGTGTAAGTCTTTTTTATTTTGATCCTCAAGACTTTGTGATTGTACATCAGTATTTTGATGGTGTGTTGTTTTCTCTGGGATTTAGGGGAAGATATAATGTGTTGCTTCCCTGAAGTTCCCTTTGTTGGGGTTTGTTTTTCCCTCAGGTGCAAAGGGTTGACTTAATCAGATCTCTCAGATCTTGGCACATGTCATCCTTGGTTCATAAAGGCATCTTCTGGTTCTATAATGACAAATTTCCCCCTTTCCCCAATCCCTGCTCTCATTCCCTCTGGGTACCACTTTCCACCACAATGGTTTGATGCAGGGTCTCCCTTTACCTGTTTTATCATTCAGGTGGATGAATGATAAAACAGGTCTGTTAGGATGATCCATCTAAAACCCAAAACAGCAGTGTTTGTTTTCCTCTCCATTCATTCCTGTGGAAATGTTCAGTTTTGTAGCCTAAGACTTTGAAAAATCAAACCTGTGTTTTAAACTTTTGATTTTTAGCTGTATCAAGTCCCTAATAAATCATTAACTTGGACGCAAACCCACTTGTGTGCTCTTTAAAGAAGAACGGTCTACTTTTAGGAGGTAAAACTCTTGGGCAATGTGTAATTTAGTATGTGTGCATGGATTATACTGATACCTTCTGCTTTTTTTCCCTCCTGATACCACTTTGTGTCCCTGTAGAAATCAGTGGATGCTTTTAGTTATGCATAGAGAGAATTCAGTTTGAACAGGGTCATTGAAGTATAAGGCTTAAAGTTGATAGGAAACAGAGTCAGCATTTACTTAGTTTTTAAAAAAAAAATTTTACATTTGTGAGCGTGCTCTGAACTTGTTAATTGCAGCTCTATCAGTCATACAGTGAATGCATAAATTAGAAAATGTAAGAAAAGGGCAATAAAACTTGGGTAAGTTTCTCAATAATCAGAATTATTAAGTGGAAAAATTGGAAGAGAAGGGACAGTCTGTTGTAGGGGACAATGTAGGCAGCCAAAATCTAGGGTAAACAGAGTAAAGAAGTAGCAAGTGGGTATTAAGAAAGTGGAGCCTAATAGAAAATGTAAAGTGTGGCTGTAATACTAGCATAATTCTAAGAGCTTAGAAGCAAATATTTGAATGAAACCAATGCTATTGGTAATTTTTAAAGAGGAGGAGAGGGCGAGCAGTTTCATTAGGAGAGCAGAAAAGAAAGCTAATCTTAGAAGTGAGATCTGGATTTCAACAAGACAAAAATGCTCAAAATGAGAGAATGTAGATCAAAGGGAATCAGAATAATAAATAAGGAAAGCATGAACCTAACCTAGGTGGGTGAAATCAATATAGAAGGAAAGCATAGACATGTTAGCCTGAAAGATGCGGCAAAGACTAAACAAAGGGTATGTAAACAAGCAGTGATTCTGAAAGGTTTCTTTAACATTTGTAATACTGGTTTGGTGGTGATGAACTCCTGCAGCTTTTTCTTTTTCAGCTCTTTATCTGTCCTTTGATTCTAAATGGTAGCTTTACTGGGAAGAGTAATCTTGGTTGTAGGTCCTTGCTTCTCATCACTTTGAATGTTTCATGCCAATCCCTTCTGTACTGTAAAGTTCCTGTTGAGAAATCAGCTAACAGTCATATGGGGGGGCTCCCTTGTAGGTAACTAATTGCTTTTGCAGCTTTCAATATTCTCTCTTTGTCTTTACCCTTTGACATTTTAATTATGATGTGTCTAAGTGTGGGCCTCTTTGAGTTCATGTTGTTTGGGACTCTCTGATTTTCTTGGACTTGTAGGACTCTTTCCTTCACAAGGTTAGGGAAGTTTTCAGTCATTATTTCTTCAAATAGGTTTTCAATCCCTTGCTCTCTCCTTCTCCTGATACCGCTATGATTTGAATGTTGTTGCCAGAGGTCACTTAAACTGTCCTCATTTTTAAAATTCTTTTTTCTTTTGTTCTAGTTGGGTGTTTTCTACTACCTTACTTCCAAATTGTTGGTTTCATCCTCTGTATCTTCTTACCTGCTGTTGATTCCAAATAGTGTATTCTTCATTTCAGTCTTCATTCCTGACTGGTTCTTTTACAAAGAAGAAAAAAAATAAAAAAATATTAAAACAGTATCACAAATTAAAAAAAAATCACTGACAAAGGCAAACACATAATAAAAACACTTGATCAGTCTACACTAAAGCTAGTACAAAGGTTAAAAGGCAAAACATGTAGGGAGATTTGTGTAAAACAACAGTAAATTAAGGGGTACACAGAAACATAAACACTAAAGAAGGAAAAAATGACAAAAACATAAATGTGGAGGGGGTAAGTAAAAATGGTAGTGATTATAGAATGTGTTCGATCTTAAGCAACCATCAACTTAAAATAGATGGCAGTAAACATAGCTTGGTATACATGAATCATATGGTGACCACAAACCAAAAATCTACAAGAAATACACAAGAAATAAAGAGGAAGGAATCCAAACACAATACCACAGAAAGTCATCAACATACAAAAGAGGAGAGTAAAAGAGTGAGAAAGAACTGTGAAGAACTACAAAACAATCAGAACAATAAAATGATAGTAACTACATACCAATCCATAATTTCTTTAAATGTAAATGGATTAATTGGTCCACTCAAAAGATGACTGGATAAAGAAGATATGGTGTATGGAGTATTATTACTCAGCCACAAAAAAGAATAAGTCTTACTGTTCGTGACAATGTGGATGGACTTAGAGGGTATATGCTAAGGGAAATAAGTCAGACAGAGGAAGATAAATACTCTATGATTTCACTTACATGTAGAGTCTTAAAGAAAAAAAAAAAAAGACAAACCAAACTGACAGATACAGAGAACAAACTGATGGTTACCAGATTGAGGGAGTAGGGGGCGCTTGGGAAACTGGGTGAAAAACGTGAAGGGATTAAGAAGTACAAACTGTCAGTTACGCCGTAGTCATGGGGATGTTAACTGCAGCTTAGGGAAGATAATCAGTAATATTATAATAAGTATAAATGATGTCAGGTAGATGCAAGACTTATCTGGGGATCACTTTGTAAGGTATATAAATGTTTAATCACTATGTTGTACATCTGAAACTAATACAGTATCAAATGTCAACTATAATTTAAAAATAAAAAAATAAAAAAAATCAACTGAAAAAAAGACAGGCAGTGATTAAAAGAGGCTACTAAAGGCAAGGGAAAGACCAATGAGTGAGGCTTACCAGAATTAGGAATGGGCAGAATGGCAGGGGTTGTAGACTAATAAAACAAAGTGGTTGAGAGATGATGAAAGTAAATTTTTATTTAAACTCTAAAAACCTGCTTTATAATTTTTAATATAGAGTGATACCAAGACTGCAATTATTTATTTCAGTTATGTGTGAGCGGAAAGGGGTCAGTGGTAGTTTGTTTATAAGCTAGAAACACATTGTGAAGTGACAAGTCATTGTGATTACATTACTCAAAATGTTCTAGTTAGTTGATGCCACTGTTGAAATCACAAAGTTTCAAATTGCCCAGGGTATTGTAAACAATCCTCAGTCTGGTTCGAACAATGTTACACTGAAGTCTGACTGTATCATGTTCCAGTAATCCAGGACGCACAATGAAAACTGATCAATAAATACTTCCCTTTAAGATCACTACCATCTTTCCCTGACATCCTGATGTTCCCAAGCTGAGGCTGCCTTAGCAATACCATGTGTGTCTGTTGCCACCACAGATTTAGTTTTATTTCCAGAACCTTTTAAACTGGTCAGTCTCCTTTAAAATCCTTCTAGTTGTTTTATTTTTAATGAGGTTACATGTTTTTGCAGTCTCAAAATTATGGCTTTAATTATACCTTAGTTTAAAGTAAAACCTTTGAGCCTGGCTGGAGTGGCTCAGTGGATTGCCTGGCTTGTGAATCGAAAAGTTGCTGGTTCGATTCCCTGTCATGTCACATGTCTGGGTTGCAGGCCAGGTCCCCATTTGGGGGCGTGTGAGAGTCAACCAACTGATGTTCCTCTCCCACATCTATGTTTCTTTCCCTCTTTTTCTCCCTCCCTTCC